TATCCTAAGGACATCCTCGCATCCAGATACTCACCAATGAGACGATTCACATTTCCAGGCAGGCCTTGCAACTCCAAACTATCAGCACCCGAGGTCCATAGCAGCGCCACAGTGATGGCCACGGGAGCCGACATCTAAACTGCTATCATCGCGCCGAGCTTGAGCCAGTTGTGCAGCTGAAGCAGGAATGTCAAGGTCGGTGTCGATTCGAATGTGCGTCGCAGGACACGCCCAACTTTACATTCCGTTGCAAGGCTGCCTAGGATGCCGGAAGAGCCCCTCCGCTGTCGGTTGGAAACCGACAGCGGAGGCCAGACACGCAATCCACTCGCGAAATGCAGCTTTCGCAAGACAGCGTCGACTGCTCCGCGTGGGGACTTTTTGCAAAACAATACTACCGTTGCTTCGAACAGGTCAGTGACCTGCAGAAAAAATTCCAGTTCACTGAGGCCGCTACAAACCCTTCGCAGGAACATGAGTCATCCGAAAAATGTGGCTCCAGATTTTTGTGGATGCGATTTCAAGCTGCTGGCCCATTGGCCGTGCTTGCTCAGCGCCTCAATAGGCGAAGGCGGATATGGTGAGATATAGCGCGCTGCCTTCATGAAGGACCTTCGCCTCCCACCTAGGGCGGGAGGGTGCGCAGCTGGGGAGCAATGAATTATAGCAGGAGTTTTCTGCTGCCATGCCGCTTTCTGGAAAGAACGTTCGTTGAACTAGCAATTCCAGTTCACTGAGGCCGCTACAAACCCTTCGCAGGAACATGAGTCATCCGAAAAATGTGGCTCCAGATTTTTGTGGATGCGATTTCAAGCTGCTGGCCCATTGGCCGTGCTTGCTCAGCGCCTCAATAGGCGAAGGCGGATATGGTGAGATATAGCGCGCTGCCTTCATGAAGGACCTTCGCCTCCCATCATACCTCAAACTCGGAAGAGGGCAAAGACTGCAGTAGACAGTCGCCTGAATATGTCATCAGTCACGCTGCGAGCTGCAACTTCCACAGGGCATACCACTGACATCGCAGCATGAATATTCCATGCATGTGGCAGTAGGGCGGCCCAACGATTCCAAGTTTGCAAAGCAACTGCGGGAACAGAAGTTGCGGCTCGAATGATTGCCACCTCACCTTTTCGAATGTATTCTCTGGCAGACCGTTCCGATAGCCATCTCCCGTAGAGTAGAATATCACTGAGGGGCATACCCCGCTTTGACAACTCACTAGCGCCTGAACGACGGAAACTGTGTGTGGTAATATGCAGATCTTGCGCTCCCAACAGCATAGCCAAGCGTTTCACCCATCTGAGAACAGACGAATAAGACGCCGAGAACACGCGCCCGTGGAAGCGAGATTCATACAAGGTCTTATACCGGCAAACCCACACACAAACCACGGCATTAGTAAGAATCACTTTTTGCTCCATACCCCTTTTGGTAAACGCCAGACACAATGTAATACTGTGATCACCAATTACCACGTCTTTCCAGTGCAGGTTGAGGGCCTCGCCCACACGAAGCAAACCGGCAAAGGAGACACAAATCACCATTGCGACCTGAACCTTGTTCAGCGCGAAAGCTGCTAGCATCATAGCCGTAAGAAGCTCAGGAGGTGCTGCGCCGGCCTGCATTGGAGGTTGCATCTGACCCCAGACATCGAACACCTTCCACGCGGTACGAAACCGACAGCGAGGGTTCGCCCGACCCAGGGCCGCCAACGCGATACCATAGTCCGAACGACCTGCCCCGAGCTCATAGCCATCAACTAGCCATTCAGCCAGAAACATGTCCTGCTGTTCCTCGGTCATAGCTAACCAGTCTACACCATGATTTTCGAGCTCAGTGTTGAGAAGTGCCAATGCGCTTTGATAGCGGTGCCGCGTTGACTCTTTTAATGCAGACATCAAGAAATTTTCCACGCGGCTGTGGCCAATCCCAAGAGGTGCCGAGCTCACTTCGCCAAGGATCCAAACCACTTGAACGAACGTGAAGCGGCTTGAACGGCATGGTGTAACCATATTTCTGTGCTTTCAACACCTGTTGGATGCAATGGCAGGCCAACTCCGCACTCAAAGGCAGCGGAACATGTGAAAATTGTTCAGCATGCAGTTTCTGGCACCCCGACACATACAGAGCTATATCATGTTTACCTTGAGAACCATACCAGTACGGATCAATCTCACAGCGACGCAGCCCTGCGAATCGTTGAAGCCGATTCAACATGCGTGAACCGGACTTGGAGTGAGGAATCTGTTGATTGCGGCCAAGCCTGTGGGCGAACCCACACCACGCTCCCTTTGATCGCATTTCACCCAAGAGACCCACGCATAGGAGATAAAGAATAACCCGCACCGCACTGTCACGACTTCGTTGCATGCTGGTTTTCTGCAAAGCGTCCGTCGCGCATGCGACGTCTCGAAAAACTTGGGGTGAGAATAGCGCATACGGTGGCGATGCAAACCCCGCAATGACACGACCTGACTGAATAAGCGACAATAACCATTGACCATGAGTTGGAAGCAACATGTCTGGAGCTTCTTCGAATGGCCACCGAATGTTACTCATGTCAACCTGCGGATCAATGCGAAGCCCATGAACATTGAGGCCCTGTTCGGAAAACATTCTCTCGAACTCAGACACAATGTCGAAGCTTGTACTGGGACCTGAACAAAGGTGCACGAAAAATCTCTCTCCGCCCGTCCAAGCGCTCAAAGTGACAGGGCTCACCACCACTTCTTCCGAAGGCTCAGGTTGAGCTTTCTTCCAGGATGATTCGGCCCCGACCTCAAACCAACGTGAAGGGTCGTCTGCAGGATTGTCTCCCGAGGGGATCCACGGGTAGAACACTTCATGCCCACCGGAAATACATATAGCGAATAGTTTCCTGCAGCGTCTGTTTAACAACCTGCTTGGCGAACGACCCTTCATAAAGGCCCCGACGCATGTCGCGGAGTCCAGCGGATGCACGAACCTGCTGTCATCATCCTGCGGCCTGCGCAAACGGTCGGCCGCTGACCATACACAGGCATCAGCTTCTCCGAGAAATATTTGCGAAGGGAAACTTCGCACCCCAGCTTTATGCCAGAAAACCTTGTGAACGGGAAGCTTTAATCTCCGAAGGGGGCATTTTTGTTCTGCCGTGAGCCCTATTCCCCAAGGCAGATTGAGATTTGTATACACTTTTGCTGCATCCGTGAGCCTCGCCATTTCCTGAACGATCTCGGTAGGCATGGTTGCCCATGCACGTCCCAAACCTGTCATGCTTGCATCGGTACACTCCACCCGCGTGGAGAAAGGTGCTGAAATGTCAAACTGATAGAAAGGTAGGAATAGGGCAGCCAACATAAGCTCTATCCACACGTTGTCAGGGAGAAATGCGCATCGCTTCCGAGCTGCCCGCTGCCGCTGCAACCACGGATAGACAACCTCAAACAAGGACCTGGCCGGAGGACGAGCTGAGTGACAAAATCCGTATTTGCCCACCAGTCGCTCGATGTCTTTCACCACTACTGTAGGTTGCTGCAAGACATAAACTGTGGCCTCAAAGAGATTGTACCGCTTACGCAGTGATACCCCAACCCAGTGATCATCAGAACTTATGTGGTAACCTTGGATCTCTGTGTCGCCCTCGGCGTCAACCGACTTCTTCTTATGAGCTGTGACACCATGAGCTTTCCAGGCCTCTTCCGCGGCTGCCAGTCGCTCAGGACCTGTCGCATGTTGCCCAGCATGAACATGATCCAACCACCAAATATCATCACAGATGCTGCCCCACAAAGGCAAATCCACGGGGCAAAGACTGTCTGGATGCAGCCGCCTGTGATCCGGGAGTTGGGCGTGAGCTGTCGCCACATCTGTCAGCGCCTGCGCCCAACCCGCACTCGGACCAAAACCCATCGGAGCCGCTGCACATGCTGGATATTTCTCATCCCCTGAGTTACTCCGAATAGGCGGTCCGCACAGCCATTTATGCCACTTGTTACCGATGCGGAGCGTGTGAAAATAATGTCGAGCATCACGTTTACTAATCAAGAGCTTGCCGACTTTGGGAACCCACAACGTCCTCATCTTTGGAATGTAAGCGAAGCGTGGACGGGGCAACAAAGCTGGGTCTAGCAATTGATTGACTGCTGGGTCGGTAATAACTCGGTCCTCAACGTCATCCTTCTTCACTGCAAATGCACCTGCCAAGACACACTTGCCTCTGTGACGTGCTACTTGCTTTGGCTTTTTCAATACATGAAGCCCTGCTGCGACGTTGCGGCGAACCAGATCTGGATATGTTGAATGAAGCCACGTGTGGCCTCTCTTGATCCGAATGGGACGCCGTCTCGACGGCAGTAGAAGAACTTTCGGCTCCCTGACCTGCATGGCCAGAGAAGGAAACATCGTCTCCAGCGCTCCTGCTAAGTCGACTTGTGCTGCTTGATCTGGCACCCCCCCTCTGTTCCCGAGGGGGATGGCCACTCCACCCCCAACATAATGTTGCTGATGCTTCAAAAATTCAAGGGTCTCTTTCCTACCCAGCAAAGGTTCCTCAACCATCATTGACTGAACCCCTTTCTGAAGCCGGGCCTGGATGCGCTTGTGGGCAGCGGTCAGGACGGACTGTACTTTCGTCTGACCTCCCCCATACAGCATGTTCAGAGCTGCCTGCAGGATGTTCACGCCGTGGCCCACCCTCTCATCATGAGTGGCGGGCATACGCCCAAATTGGAACCGTGACACCCCTTCCTCTGTGACAAACGATGGCAACGGAAAAACATGCGGTAAACTGCGCCCAGGAATACCTCGGCTCGAAGAAATTTCCATGAATTCAATACTCTTCTGCAACTGAGATGTGCCCCTGCCCATCCTCCACAAAGCACGTCCAAAATCGAAGACACTGCCCTGATGAGCGAAGAGTCTCTCACAGCCGCAGACAAACATGCAGAACAGATCACGGACAGACCCCTCCGAGCCTAAGCTTATGCGGAGACCACCCATGATCTTGCGTAGTCGTCGGCCTAGTTGGTGAGTGCCAGCATCGACGACGATGCCACTGCACTCCCGGATGGAATCAACTCGATCATCTCGGCCTTCTCCCATGTTCCACCCTTCTTCTTCGCCTGCTGGATTGCAAGGATCCGCTGAGTCAACACATCCATAGCTCGAGCAATCTCCTTCCGGTTTATGGCATCCATGGCCTCGGCCAGAGTGAGGACCTCGCGGATGTCCCTGATCTCGGTCAGACCGGAGAATTGCGAAGCCCAGCTCACTACACTGGCCTGCCGAAGTTGCGAACTCCGGGTCAATCTGCCTTTGGACAACCTGGCGTAGATGGACGCCAGAAAGTGGGCCGTGAGCGCTCCGGGATGCTTTGTTGCATACGCCACCAACTCTCCCTTCCGCTTGAACTTCTGCTGGTCCAACGCATAGATCTGAGAGTGCTCGACATCCTTGGTCTTGGCCTTGTAGCCCCACCTCAGCGGGGCATCGGAGTCGTCCTCTGACGACGAGCTGCTTCGGCTGCTCCGCGAGCGACTGCTGGATGAACTGGTGTCGCGATTCTTTTTCTTTTTCTTCTTCTTCTTCTTGTCTTGCTTCTTTTTCTTTCTGCGCTCCTTGGAATCCTTGTCTTTTGCCATGGAACGCAACTCCTGCACTGCGTCTGCCAGGGATTGCAGGTTCAACGGATCCACGCCTGATTTCCGAGATGGTGTTGGTCCTACCGGTCCCAGCGCCGCGGCTGCCGCGGGCTGCGCCGGTGCCAAAACACCTGCGCCTCCTGGTCCCACTACCGGTGGACCTCCCACTGGTACGGGAATCAGATCCATCCCCTGACCGGGAATGGTCACCATCGAATCGTTCACCCCTGACTGGCTCAGCTGAATTGCTAACAACTGGCCCTCCTGCTGAATGGCTGTTAGCTCGTCTGCATGGGGATTCCATTTTGCAGCTGGGTTTTCTGGAGGACAGATCCAATTGATCTGACCTGCATGAACCCCTGCTGGCGCCCCACGAGCTCCACCGACACCCACAGGCGCACGTACAGCTCCCAGCACTGTTCTGACAATGCTCCACTGCCAATCGGATGCGTCAGCAGTAGTGGTTCTGACGATCAAGTCACTGGTGCCGGTAAGCCGGGATGCTACGTAGACCTCGTCCCACTCACCACTCCTTTCGAGAAGCAAGAAACCCAAGGGGGTTCCAGGATTCACTCCAGGAGCGGCCACAAGAGCCATTTGCTGACAGGTTGTCTCCAATCGTTCTGCTTCAGTGATGCTTTTCCGTGGCCACAGAGAAAATTCCGCCGCACACCTTTCAACACACCAAACGATAATCGACAGGAGGAGCCGCAACAGATACAGTATTTCAGCACGGAGCTCGAAAAGTATCCAGATGCCACCGAGGCGGAATACAGAATCAGTGCTATTCTCGAGTAGCACACGCAACCCTCCTCCTATCAGCTCGCCAGAGTACAGAGCCACCACGTGACTCAGCTCTTCTCCAGCGTATCTTACAGCTAACTTCAGCAGAGCAGTCAAGGAGAAAGCACCCCCAATGGCAACTCCAGCTACGACCTGACGACTCATTCAGGGGACTTGAGCAATGAATTATAGCAGGAGTTTTCTGCTGCCATGCCGCTTTCTGGAAAGAACGTTCGTTGAACTAGCAAAGGGACCTCAAGGCGCACGGAAGCCGTGCAACGGCATTCCCGGCGCGAACTCCGGGTCCATAATTTCTTGGATCCTGCGCAGCAGCTGCACGATCCTTTCGTGTTCCCGAGACCAATCTTGCATGGTACGCATCAGCTCAGCTAACTGCGCGTTCATTCGCGCTTGATCCAGCAGCATGTTGTTCAGCTGACCTTGAAATGTATGCACAAGGACCTCATAATTCACTGGAGTGGGGTACACGTTTGCATTCGCGCTGGTGTCCGATGCAACTCCATCCTCGCGAGAATCCTGTTGCGCTTGGTCCGGACCTTCCACCGTGGATGTAGTTGCATCTCCAGGATGGGGATCCATGGCGCCAAACAGACACGAGGAACGGAATCTAACTCAGCAGCTGCGTGGAAGAATGTAGCATGCGAGCAGGAACAGCCAGGACCCAGCTTCGCTAGCAATGAAGCTGCCTGAGCTCGCTCCTACCTGACAAGACGCCATGGAAGAAACAGCATTTTTTGTGGCGTCAAGGCCGAGAGAATCGCGCATCTAAGACTCAATCAGCGGCTTTTGCACATCACTGCTACGTGCAGAGGCTAGATACAGCCCACTGGCGGAATGCAGCTTTCGCAAGACAGCGTCGACTGCTCCGCGCGGGGACCGTCGCAAAACTGCACCCTCGCTTCGAGGAGGTTCAGTCAATGCAGCCCACTGGGGAAATGCAGCTTTCGCAAGACAGCGTCAACTGCTCCGCACGGGGACCGTTGCAAAACTCCACCCTCGCTTCGAGGAGTTTGAGTCAACGCAGCCCACTGACGGAAAGCAGCTTTCGCAAGACAGCGTCGACTGCTCCGCGCGGGGACCTTCGCAAGACTCTACCCTCGCTTCCAGGAGGTTCAGTTCATTTCCCAAGCGCTGCACTTCACTTTCGATGGCGTCTCCTGCACGAGGCTGCTGGCAGATCGTTTGTTGCTTTGCAACGCCTCTTCGTGCTTCCTCACCAGGTGCTTCTCCTCGTCCTTGTACACCTCCTCCACGGTGGGCTCGTCTTCGGCAACGGCCACGACGGTCACGTAGTTTGCGAAGACACCGCCTATCGTGAAGAAGGTGCCCATGTCTGAGCACATCAAATCGGCGATCGGACAATGGACTGGCAGCACAGCACCATCTCGCTTCTCGGTCGCAAGACGGGTGATCTTTTTCACCATCGAACGCCGGTCCTCGTCGTACTCCTCCCCGAAGCAGGCGCGAGCTGCCAAGACTTGAAACTGGGTCGGGGGAGCAAGTCCGCCGGCCACACTCGCATGCGAAGCTTGCTGCGCGGAGACTTTTCGGGGTCGGCCGAGGCGGTGCGACGTGCCCAGCCGTGCGTCGCACAGCCCCCTGAAGCAGACTGCCTCACTGCCTTTCGACTGGATCAACTACCAGCAGCCGAGATTTCTAATGTACTTTTCGGCATCTCGCATACTTGTCTTGGACATTTCTTCAAACTCCCGCATTCTCCGAACGAGCGTGTCGTTGTGCTCGTGCAGATAGCCTTCGAAACAGCGTCGGTCCGGCAAACCGACTATGGTCAGATCCGTCAGCTTCCTCGCGCGCGACATCATGACGTAGAGCGCCAAAGCATAGTCAGACTCCTTCATCCAAGATGGTTGTGTCAAAAAGGCCACCAGTCCATGTTTGGCGGTTATCCCTTGCATCCCGAAGTGCGTGAGGACTTCTCTCGGCGCCAAAGGAATCTAGCGCAGCCAAATAACCAAAACCAAAAAAAAAAAAGAGAGAGAAAGGTTACATCATGATATGATGTAATCACAACCCGACACCTACCAGCGCACACAATCCCGTGCCTGCTTGCGCACCACTCTGAATTTCGGGTCCTTGCCAACCTGGACCGCAAACCCATTGCTGTCGGCCACCGGCCGCACGAAGAAATGACCTTTCGGAACGCCCGACGCTGGAGGCAGCTGCAGTTCTTTGTATTCCTTGTCGTCTACTTCCACAAGCACACCCAACGGCTGGTAGCGCAGCACGACGCAAGCTGCCCCACCGTCGACCGCGGGTTCCCGCGGATGCAGCTCGATGCGTCGAACGACGCAAGGCAACTCCCTGGTAAAATGCATGAAATACGAACCTTCATGCCAACGAACAATGGACACATGCCCATGAGATATCCAGTCTTCGTCATGTTCACGACTTTCAGCGCAGCGCTGGCTTCGTCGGGCGTAAGGTTGCGACCTCCGGTGGGCTTGTCGATCGCCTGCACGAAGTAGAGCTGCTGATGCGCAGCGCGAGCTTCCAAAGTAGACCGTACGTGCTGCAAACGAGCAACTTGCTCCCAAGCCAATCCGCCCCAGTATGTGGACAGGAAGTCTTCCTCTGACAACATCCGGGGCCGCAACACTCGCGATTGCAGGTCCTGCCAGAGGCCGTCGGGCAAGCTGGTGCCCTGCCGCATGTGTCCGAGAATACGAACCAAGGCCTGCCCGGATGCGCAGTCCGAAAACCGCCCGGTCCCCGTGAAGTGGACGACAATGCGTGCAGAGTTCTTGAAAAGCAAACGTCCGAGCTCCGAGTTGTTGCTGTCCTGCGAATTCCAAGACATGCAAAACAAGGCACAAGCAACATAAACAAGGATTCACATTTACATAGACCCCATTCCTGTGATTTGGGATCACCTTCTTCTTCGCTCTCAGACTGCGCCCTGTCCACAGCGGACACTGCTTCCTTCCATTCGCAAAGACTTCTCTTTCCTGCTGGCCGAATTTGCAGGAAGTCCCCCAGCTGTATGCCGACGGGCATGCGACCGAACCATTCCTCCAGGTAGCGGGTAGTGTCCAAAGCCAACGTATCTGCACGCTGTAAAGCAAAACGATAGCCGGCTGCATGATAAACATCGGGCGGTGTCATCGACAGCTCGTCATAGACCTTGCGTTCCAAAGTATATAATCCTTACACCACCATGAACAATCCCAACGACAACAAAAGACGAATGGTTCACAGGCCAAGCACGGCGGCGACGGCCGTTACGATTCGCCTCTCCAAAGCATCTTCTTTGTTTTTTTGGGCTCGAAGAGACCGACGGTCCAAACAGATATTGGGATTGACGTTAGCCAACTTGTGTAGCGTGCGCGCTTCTCTTCCGAGCAGCCGCACAGCAGCGTGCGTGGGCGCACCTGCCAGGAACCCATCTTCACCGAAAAAGCGTCGAAAGAGTGGTCGTATAACTTGGGTGTAAGCCCATGTTTTGCCGCTCCCTCCCGCACCCAGCCAGAGACAGTTCACGCAGGCATTACGCTTGCCATCAGCCTTGCAAATGCTGCTGTTCGTCCTCTTTGCCCACATGTCGTCCACGGCACACACTACAGGAGCCACAGCGCGGATCTGCTGATCATTCAGTGTGTGCTCCTGCCACCAGGTCAATATAATTATGAATCTCTCTCTCTCTCTCTCTCTCTCTCTCTCTCTCTCTCTCTCTCTCTCTCTCTCTATATATATATATATACACACACCATCACTGCCTACTCAGGCTCGGAAGCTCTGCGTCGATTGCAAGGGCTTTCTCATTGCACATGTATGCACCACATGAAAGGATGGACATGTTGCAGATTGTTGCAGCATCTTACCATACCGAGCACCGCTCTTTACCTGCCTCGATGAATGACTCTCTAACGCTAATTTTAAACTCTTCGCTACTGATGCTTGCGAGGCAATTGTCTTCGGCTCGTACCTCAATCAGCTTCAAGGCATACTCGCTGGGACGCAAATCTTGTGCATTCAACTCCGCCAGAAAGGGATCCACTGCCAGCTCCGGCTCCGATGCCTGATCATCTTCCTCCTCATCTCCCATCTCGCATTCCTCATCTCCCACGTGACCCGCCGCTTCGCCTGCCACTTCGCCTGCATCGACTGCTGGCCACGAAACTAGGACACGAGGAGCAAATCCACTAAACAGAAACGTCGGTTTTGTCTCACCGAACCTCCCGCGACCTTATCCAAATAGCGATGCTGCTGCTCAAAGACCGCTTTGGCATCAGACTGAAACCAAGTTTTGCGTGTGCCGGCCGCACTGAAAGCCTGGCCAGAAGCTTTCGCTTGTACGTCTGGCAAGCCGCCGAGGCCTTCAACGACATGCTTCAAGCATTGAAGCGCTTCCTTCGTTTTGTTCTCGCGTCCCGCCATTGCGCTCTTCCACTCCTTCTCGCGGAACAGAACTTCGCCCAGATGATCCAAAGACACAGTGTGCTCCGCACATTCCGCGCGCTCGATGGCATCCTCGTGCTCCAGGTCATCATCTACAGAGGCCTCCTCGATGTCCATGGGCCCAGAACCGTCCTGTCGTCATGCAGACACGGCAAACAAACGCACACACACACACACACACACACATACACACCAAAATGGAGGGGAACCCAATGCATGTCCTCGCCTGCTCCCCTTCCTCATCGGCTTTGGAAACGTACGCAAAGCGTTCTGCCCTGCGTTGGCTACTGCACTTCCAAGAATCATTGCAATGCTCCTCGCCGGCACAGCGAGAAAACGGGAAAGAGAGCCCGAGCATGCAACAGGCGAGCTTCTCCTTCTCTCCGGCTGCAGGCCAATGTAAATCCATGGGCACGACGACGTTGTCGTCGGCACCTCGAAGCTCCTGCCGCACGCGTACATGTCTACACATCACATGCATGGGACCCAACATGGATTTGAAGCTGATGCATGTCGGCTGACCTGCAAAGAAGACGCATATTGCCCGTAGTGCGCATCGAACGGGAAATACCGCACGAAGTCCACTCTCCCAGCCTTGCTGCGAGGCACACGCCGCACGTAGCGAGAGTAGTTGACCAAGGACATGCATGCCAATACAGCACTGGGCCCGCGATGCACGTAATCATCCTTTTGGTTGTAGGCCACGGGCTGCGACTGTCGGCGGCCCT